ATTGGATTGCAGAGAGACACAGGATTGGCTGAGGCCAGGTGGTCTAATATGTCTGCGCCCTAATCCGACGCCACACCACAACACCACTGCTTATTCTAGGTCAAAATGGTTGCGCCAAACGTTGGTGTTGAATCTAATTCTGAGGCCGTAAATGAAATCCTTAGGGCAATTCGATCCGCTATTCCAGTAATGGAAGATTCTTTACATAAGGGGCAAATGGGCCGAATAGGCGTACTTGGCGGATCTAAAGAGTATGGAGGTTGTGTAATGCATTTGTGGTCTTCCGTAGATACACAGGCGCGCCATATTTTGCTGGCATTACAGCACTTTATTGTGTACGCTATCTTTTTACCGCTTACTTGGTGTAGGGGGCTGATTTGGTTCATGTGCTGTGCGCAGACGCCGCCGCCCAAGCCATCAAATGCTATAGCCCTGAGCTCATTGTTCACCCGACATTGTATGCAATTCATGATTGATTCCTTTTATGTGGTAGGGATAATAACCTTGAGGAGTCATTAAAGTGGCTTTCTAAGCTGCACGCCGTTGTGATCGGTCCTGGCCTTGGTATGGTAGAAAATATCCCAATTACGGAAAAGGTACTTTTCAATGTCACATATGCTTTGTTTAGTTAATGGAAGAATGTATCCGATCAAAAAAACCCATGATTATTGATGCAGATGGACTCTATATTGTTGCTAAAAATGCAAGTCTTGTTTCTGGCTCTCGGCAGGTTATTCTGACCCCAAATGTGAATGAGTTTTCTCGTCTGTATAAGACTATTTTAGGTGGGCCCTGCTTATACCAAATAACATGTCTTAGGCACAGAACCCTCAAATGATCCAAAAGAGACGTCTACGTTGGCCTCTGCTCTGGGTAACCTTACAATCATTCGAAAAGGACCGATGGATGTCATCTCCAATGGCGAACACCGTACGCTCAACTTCATTTGCCTTTATGCCATTTCCGGTGTTTTCGTGTGGTTAATAAACATGGCCAGTTATACTGTGCTTAACCAGAAGGAGTAGGCAGAAGGTCTTGCTTGATGTCTAGCAGTCTTAAGCTACCTTGCAAATCACTTAGCTTATATTATCTCATTATAACCAAATCAAAAGTGGATTGATCGGACAACCTGGGTAGAAATCGTACCGTTATTAGAAGCAGTTTTATAATGCGAATTGATGCCTGCACTGAGCAGAGCAGTGCCATAGTGCTTCAAAATGCACAGAACGGAAACAAGTAAGAAACTGCACAGTCGGTTTGTATGCGTATTCCTTACGTTTTTAAGTAACTCTTACCTCAAGGTTGTCACCCTTTAACTTATTGGCAGCCCAACGTTGCGCAGAATATTCCATCTTTCAAAGGCCTTATCAGATCAAAATTATTCATCCGCGTTGTTAGTCTTTTTATCTTGTCCCCGCTTAATTACTCGTGGGACCATTATGACTTACGTATGAAACTTTTGTATCCAACTCCTCAAATTCCCAAACTTTTAATTTATCCCTATCAGAGCATCAGACCCTCGCGACCTGAAGACTGATAAAGTTGAGTGAGCGTGCAGCATGGTGACTAATTACATAAATTAAGGGTGTACTGAGCGGTTTAATTGACATGTTGGGATTTACAACATTCGGTCGCAAAAAGATTGCAAGGATCAACGTAGGTTCCATAGCTTGATCATATAAGGCAAAGAAATATTTTTTGCCAACTCACAGTCGCTTTAGTTTGCATAAAATGGCATTGTCTTACACGTGCTAGTGGTTACTTGAGGCCTTCGGTGTGTACAGTTGCGAAGATCTATGCACCTGCATTGTTGTTACGTAGTGGTCATCTGTGAATCAGAGGGTTCTCCTAGGCGATGCGGAGGACAAGGAGACCTATTATCCGGGGCAGCTGCTATCTTCTCTCATTGGTTCTCTAGGAAATCCTTCACTTGTTCGTATGTTTTTTTGATTTTCAGCGGTCTTCTCTAATTCCAGTTATTTCACTTCCCCGCCATAAGTTTTTGGTCTATTGGTAACATATTTGCTAGTTGAGTATCTTAGTTCTTGATGCATGTACTGCATTGGTAGCAAATGGCGAGCTGAGTTGAAGGCTTTCACTGGAAATTTGCACCAAATGTGAATGTAATTCAGGAAATCAGTTTGAATTGTAGAAAGCATCGATCACGACTAGGAAATCGGCAGCGCAACTAGGTATAGGCTTTCGCCAAGGAGCTCACCTCTCACTGTTGCACATAGTGTTTTTGTGTTAGTATGTCATTGTAACCTTCTACCTTGCGATTTTCCATTTGTTACTAACTTAGACGTGTCGCGTTCTGTGCGAACGCTAACAGCTAACGTAGTGTTCAGTCATGCTCGTCAGAATGTAAGTCCCAATATTCGGGCATATGTAAACTTGGTTTCATTGCCTTAATAGCCCGAGTGATTAGCAGGCATCTTCTTTACAATTTTGCATGTCTTGTTTCTCCAGTTATTCTGCCACAATGGCTGCTAGTTTAGCTGCCTGCTTGCTGACCCGTCGATGTGCAAACCTCGCGTTCTCCAAGCACCGCCGAAGCACTGTGACAATGAAATTGATTGAAGAAATTCAGCCAGCTTTTGAACAGCTGTTTATGCACAAATGACTCGGTCTACATTGCTATTTTGATCTTTCTGGGGTCCTGTTGCTTCTTTAATTTTGGTGAAACAATATGATTGTCCATGCTTTTTTAATAGCAATTTGATTAATATTTTGTCTTATTTGTCAAACACGACATTGCATTTGCAAACTAGGAACGCGTTCTAAATGTTCGTGCCACAAAACCATCAGTAGTTGATTCATAATCGTGGTAAGTTATGTTGGAGGTCGGCAACCAGACTTCAAGTTGTGCGTGGTCTTGAGAACCGGACTTCCTTGTTGTCTTCATTGGCTAACTCGAGCAAATGTTATTGGCGACCCGACAGATCTCAGTTCAGGTGTTCATGACTTTTGCCTTAAAAATAGCGTATATGGCCTTGATCCTCTGTGCGGGGATGCGTGTGTTGTGTGTGGAAACATGTGGGTGCAAGAACAACGCATTCGTGTGCACGATCTTCTTTACACCGAATCGACGAATATATCCATAAAAAACAACATTAGCTATGTTGTATTGTCAAAAGTGAAGAGCTTTACTCGTTCATAAAGCCTAAAAAGTAGCAAAATGCTCAAATTCTCGGGCGACGTGCATCACCTTATAGATTTTTCCACCATCCATGCAAATAAGCAAATACTATGGCTTGGGTCAGTTTTTTCATGATCAGGTAACCCTGGGCAAAAGTGATGTGGCCTATCAGTTTTTTGCAAAATCCTGTCTTAACAAGTCTCTTGCGTCATCCTGTGCGTTGAGTTGACCGATAATGATACCTTTTCTCAACAGATATACGTGTTTCTCATGCACTCGTTTGAAATGGCAGATCAAAATTAGGCGGTAGACAGCAAGTGTCAGTAAAATCAACCAAATGACACTGTATGAGACGCCAAAAGCAAGTGCAGTCGTCTTGATTCTGTTGGTCCAATGAACAGGGGTCTCGGAAACTTCGGGTTCACCTTTCTCACCTAGGCGGAACTTGCTTCGTTTTGTATAGGACGAAGAGAATTCATGCGAGGCAATGAATAGATCCATTAAATTTTGGTAGGCCCATACAGAAAGGCCCAGAAAAGTGCGCGTAAGTGTGCCTCCGTCCACCACGCAGTCTTCCACCGAGGTTGATCCCTCCGAGACAGTAGTGAAGCCAGCCGGACACGCGACGCAGCCAGCCGAGGCGGGCCAGCCCGTTTGCCCGCGGAAAAATCCCCGAGGACAGGGAGCGCAGGGCGAGAACGAATAAGGGGCCCGTGGTGCGTGGCCCGGTGGACAGGCGTCGCAGCTCGTGGAAAAGCCGACGAGTGAGTAAGCGCTGTCGTTCGCAGTAATAACGATAGGTTTTGTATCACGCAGTTCCCGAGTGTCTGGTCCAAAGTTCACTTTGATAGGGATTAAAGGAATAGGGGGATACTTCAGGTGGGTTCCTGGAGGACAAATAACCTCAACAGAAGTGTCAATTAGAATTGTGTATGGCTTAGCCTCTCCTTGTTGTGTCAATACCGTGGCAACTCGATTCACAAGTCGCACATCAAGCATATGTTTCATTGAAGCATGTATATATGCGAGAGTTATATTCCCCCCTTTGCTACGGGTGGTTGGATTTGATAAAAGATTCATAGGATTTGTACTAAGGCTGATAGTCAGAGTTAGAATTGAAGTGTGCCTGGTGGGGGCTCTCGTGGGGATACGATTAAGGGAAACACTCACACAGGGCGAGGTCTGGTATTCCTTTACATTTCGAAGCCCCTTGCAGAATGTTTCTGCTTCATTACGCCACCAATCAAGCGGTATGTGTCTGTTTGGTGTCAATACATTCTCGAATTCCTCTGGAATGACATATTTCCATGTAACATGGGGTTGAGTATAGTGCAATAGTGAATACTGATTATAAATAATTTCTTCCTTGAGAGAAAATTGCTTCGTCGTTGGTGGATCACTTCGTAAAAGTCCAGCATTCTTTGGCTTGTATGTCCTACAAGTGACGGTGGTCATTGTCCTCTGATGTAGTACAGCGAGACTACTACCCACCTCTACTGCGTATGCTTGTGGTATTTCCAGTGTTGGCCGAGCAGTCTGATGTTCGTAAACAGAGGCAGTTCGCGACAGCTCATGCTCAATTTCTCCAGGGGCTGTCATGGGCAGGTGGATAGGGAGGACAGCACCCACATGAATGACTTGACCAATGGTGTTGAACCATATCGTGACCGCTTCGAGTTCAACAACAGCTAAAAGTTTGGCCTTGATTATCTCGATGGCACTAGTGTTTAATGCATTAGTGCTCAGGTGTGTGAATTTCTTGCCGTCTATATTGCAAGGTAGTTGAACCAGACGACCACTGGGCAACCATATCACCAACTGAGACTCTTTTGGAAATTCAACACCACAGGTCCAAGGTAAGGCATATATTAGTAAGAGTAATAGCAGCTGCCCGCTAGCATTCATTCTTTACACAAGCAATTAGATAAGTACGATCAATAAATTTAAAATTTCATAGTTGTTTTATCTTGAAAACACAAATGATGCTTGGATTTAAACCCATAAGCAGATCTGTGTTCAAATTAAACGTCTGCGGTCCAAAATGCACACTTGGTCGATGGACTAGACTTGAGCACAGGTGATATCATAAGGCATCGGCGGACTTAAACACTACAGATGATTCCATGAAGTGAGGAAGAAGCCTACATTAGGTAGGAGTGGAGTTGCAATTTGTGAGAGGAATGAGAAAGTTATTTACTCCCTTGTGACTACCACGTTCAAATCGCGGCCCTCCATAGAGAGCACTTAGGCTTAAGAAATAAAACAATTTTTCAAATTTCCAATATGGGCCCTCCTCGTAGTGCATGCACAGGTTGTCGAGTTGAAGAAATGTTTGAAAATCGATGGGAACATGCACTCATCGTGTTCATTTACTTATTGCACATATTTAAATTTGACTAGTTCTAATAGGGCCGCTATAGGTTTCCACAAAATGACCACGGGTTGATCAAGGTAATGATACAGTTGTAAGAGCACCAAAGAGCTATACTCTAGTTTAACAGACCAACCGGGACGAAAATCGTCTAGAGCGAATAAAAAAATATCAGAACGTCTAGTGAAAATGTTTGGTAAAAAGCATATTAGTTGAATTGTAAACGATAGTGAGTGATGACAGCGAAGCCGGAATGAGTGACAGCAGTTGAAAGGAGCTTCAGACATCGATACATTCATGAAACCCTCGGGTAACAGAAACAACCTGATGAGTTAGTCTACTTAACAACCCCACTGAATAAGGTTGTCAACAGTAACTGAGATATAGACGGTGCAATGAAGTAGTCATGGTGATGCAAACGAACATTCAGAATGGCTGCGGGAAGAAAGAGAGGAGTAGACCAGGCGACGTTGGGGCCGATGTTGTTCGCTGGTTGATTGGCTCGGTCGCGTCGAAGATCGACTTTCAGAACCACAGGAGTGTCGGCTGCCTGACTCAGTCTGCTGACGTCGCGAGTCCTTTTCACGCTGGCTAGAACGATGAGGACCACGCGAACGAGGTGAATCTCGGTGACCTAATAAAAATAAGCGAATTCTATGGAGGGACAACGTAAAAATAGAGAGCAGGCACTTACTTAAATAGATACACAGAACTACAAACTCAAGGGCATTTATACCAACACCAGAATCTAGCAAATTTTTGAATGAAATTGCATCATAAAATGTCTAGTGAGGCGGCATACTAAAATAGAATTCAAGCTTAAGCGGAGGTGGCCAAAAAGTGAGCGCGTAAACATTCACTCTAGACGTCGTGGTTTTTTTAATTTGAACTAACAGTGGTCACTATAATTATACATAGGAAGAAGACCTATGGCAATGCGGCAGGTTGGAGTTAGAGTGGTGAGTGAATAAACTTTGAACAGCTGAGGTGAGGTCAGTCCCGCAAGATTCAAGGTGGTCAAAAATTGACTGCAAGTATTTCTAGAGATGAAACATAGAGGCAATTCAAACGTTGTTTTATGAATTGGGGAGACTTGATTCAGGTCCGAGTTAAAAGAAACGGCCAGTTGACCTAATACATATTAACTACGGTACCTACATGGCATTCATGCATTGGCACGTGTAATCCCTTATGACCTTATTCCCACACCGTAACATCTTCCACACTTCATAAAATCGATCCCCGAGACACTAGCCTGAATAGTCACAGAACAGACACGAAGGGATGACGCGGAGACAAGCGTTTGATATACCAGGAAGCTACAAATCTTTTCAGTAAAATTAAATAATATGCAGCCAGTTAATCGAAAGCACAGATATCCAAAAGACTGTCAGATATAAAGCCAAGACAAAAACTACGTGGGGATGCGTCGCCAAGAGAATTCTTTTCCCGGTGTCGGTGGGAAGTGGGGTAAGGGGGGTCAGGGAGAGCAGAGTGTGGAGATGCCTGTCGTTGTCGCCGGGATTGTTTCGTTGCAATAACGTTGGGTCTACGGTTGTGGTGATGGTGATGATAGGCAGGGGACTGAGAGCAGGACAAAAGACTGCCTGAATCACCTCTGGAACAGGACCGGGAGGTACTGGGAAAGACATTGTGGCTGCGGTAATCACGACCGTTTCTATCACTATTGTGGTCCTGAAAAATCAAAGATGAGGGGGCGACTACCTCGTTTTAGATGTCTAGTTTCAAATTTAATTCCAGTGTCATGAAAAGCAGTTTGATTTGGCGTGCCCCACAACGCAACCTCCAGTTAAAAAACGGTCCCATCGGTGTTGATACCTCTTATATCCATCAGGTCAAGGTCACCCAAGGCATATTTGAGTTATCAATTCCGACATATCACTCGTCAAATTGCTCCCCTTAACGACGTTTTGTCTTTTTCCTGGCAGTGGGTTGGACAAAAGACTTGTAGAATGGTTATCTGAGTGTGGTGGGTTCCCGGTAAGACGCAGTAGCAAGCCATAGAAGGAATTTCAACTCTCCTGAACAGGTACATTAAGAGAGAAATGAAATTTCACTATCAACGGAGCAACATGGGTGGCCCCAAAATAGTGACGCTTTAAAATCCCTGGAATATGGTCAGTGGGATCTGCCGACACGAAGTTTTCGGATGTTGCGAATTCGAGGTCGCCTATGCCTAGTTCATAGTTACCTACTTCTTACATATTTATACTCATGAATGGGAAAGTCATCCTTTAGTATGCAATCACTCGAAAGACGTGCAAAACTGATACCGACATAACCCGCACCGTAGTAGCTCACGACATTTCAAAACAATTCAATCTGCGTTGCACAAACGAAAAGAGCGCACTTCGTGGTACCACATACATGGGTACAAAATTTATGATGATTTTTGGCGGGCGACATCAAAAGGAAGTAAGATCTCACCTGGAATAAATAGTTTTGCCTGTCGAAACTTTGATTACTTCGTCCGCCATCGTCCCTTCCGCGACGATCAGAGTTTCTATAATCGCTTTTGTGATGTCTGCTATGTTGCCGCTGAAACTGGAATTCTCGATTCCTTCGAAATCGTCTGTAGTCATTTCGATCATAATTGTCATAGTGACGCCCATAGTTACTACCTAGGAACGGAATTGCATCAATACAAGTGAAAGTCAGTTCCAAGTTCCTCGCGAACACATTTAAAGTGAGCGTACCGCCGTGCTTTCGAATTCGATCCCTGTGTTGACCTGGTGACGACATCCTGTGTCTTCCTTCGATGAGGGGCGACGGATTTTTGTCAAGATTTGGCTTAATTGGTGAACTCACCGGCGGTGAACTGCGCTTCGCTAACTGACCAGCCAGGGACATTCGGCGGCGCAATGGTGAATCTTCATGGTTAGTCTCATTGTCTGAATTGATACCAGGCTGCTTGCTGGATGCATTTGGGACCCATCCTGCAACAGCAGCTGAAAATTTGCGGGAAAAAGAGCTTGAATTTGCGATGGCAGGCTGTGGTGTTGGCTGTGATGATTCACCTATGGATGACGGTGCTGGCTGATTAAATTTTGTTCGCACACTATCCTCCGGAAAGTAGGAGTCTGCACCTGAAGCTTTTAGTGACTGTTTGGGTCGGTAGCCAGTGACAGACACGTTGGAATCGGTAGATTCTAGAAATTAAGATGTGCTGGACCGTGTTAAAAATGAAAAACTACAGTCAGAAGCAAAATATAACAAAACATAACGAAAGTTCGACAGTCAACGATAAGAAATAACACGAATATATGGAACAGCTGGACTTATAGCTAGGCTTTGAGAAATCAGACACGACCCTAACGATATGGTAGACTGAGAAGTATCGTATGCATATAGTGTCTTCAGACGGCTGATCAACAAAAGCTATTTGGGAAGCCGCCTGCTAGACAAACTCCTAGATCCTTGACTGAGACATTACAAGCTCTCGGCATGAGGTCTTGTACTGGGACAAGGAAGGTGGTGATTAACGTTCAACAAAGGGCATCGAGCACGTGCATTCAGGGGTGCGATTTTGCTACCGGTATACGCAACAGACGGATATCAACATAATTAAAAAAAGAACCCACAGAAATTCTACGAATCTACTTAGAGTCTACGAACGGGCAATATCTGGCTTTCATTCGGTATTAATGACTACGCTTAAGGTTGCAAGTCAACACATGAACCAATACTCATATCTGGGGAAGATTTCGCAGACCATGCATCAAATATTTCAAACGATCACTTTGGAGAATCCAAGAATTAAAGCAAACACAATGCACGAAGACGCACGACCCAGATACCCGTCATGAACACATCAGGTGACGATTGAAGGAGGAATTCATGAGAATAATAATAAAGAGGTTACCATCAAAACTAAGCTTGCAGTGCTTCTGACTTAACAATTTAGGTAAATTCTGGAATATGGCCAAAAACGAAAACGAAGCTTTTTTCCTGAATGCCAAGGGCCATATAAACCAACTAACCAACATCCATTTCATCTCCTACATCATCCACTTCCATTTCTACTTCATTTTCACAAGCTAATATCGGCTGATTCTCAGTCTCCCCAGACGGTGCCGGAAGAACATCCGTTGACAAAGGATGACTATGATCCTCCTCTGTAGAAATTGGATCCGGCAATAAAGGCTCGGGGGGTCCGGCTAAGACTGGTGGGGGTATGGATATGTCAGGAAGCAAAGGTTGAGGAGTTTGTCGCTTTTTACTCCTCCGTAGCCAATCTCGATAGTCAACATCAAGTATCTCACAAGCGACTTGATTTATTGGTGGAGCAAGGGCTTCTGGAGAGGCCTGAGTGGCGAGCAATCGATCTGCCATTTGACTAAGACTGCGCTGAAAAATAGCGTTGTCATGTATCTCACGGCGCAGACGGTCGCGCATTTCCAGCTTACTGCCGACGGAACACTGGCGGGATAAAAACTGAGAGACGATGCTATCCACGACATTGCGTTTCAAGTAGAGATAATCGGGTTTGCACTCCACATCCTCAAGACAGCGTTTACGGATCTTATCAAAGAACCCCTGACTCTTTAACCTAGTCATAAGCATTTCTGGCGTCGGATTGGAAGATTCGGTCATTAAAAGGTGTTTCGTAGATTAACTGAAATGTGCGAATAAAATTACTAATACCGTGGCCATTCCAGGCAGACAGCATACGAAGGTGCACATACAATTGATTTTAACTAAGCTTCTACCGAAATTATGGTTCGGCTCGTGGGAGTTTGAGAGACAATAAATACCCACAAGAGAGAGAAAATGTGGCTATCATACTGCTTACGCAACACCTTTGTAACATAAGGAATCCATTGGATTTAAATAGTATCCATAGTAGTACATCACAACAAGTTACATCAACCAAATATCAAACGATTTAGGTTCCTGGAAGGCTGAGAATTTGAAATTCGGAAAAAACGCTAATTATCAAATCAGATTAGATTTATTGAAAGGCTAGGATCGAAAGGGCAAAAATGTTGCTGATTGGGGTTAGCAAAGCAGGAAATTTGGCTCGCAAAATGTGCGTGGAATGTTTACCAGGGAAACGAAGAAAGAATAGACATTATGCAAATACTTCCAACAATCAGTGGATGGAAAATACCACTAGATAAAATTATTCAAGCAAACAAATACTAAAACATCGAGAGATTCATGGCTACTTTGGCTGATCCAAATTTTATAAATGTAAGTACAATGTGATAAACTTAAGCGTACATTAAAAAAATATTTCAGCAACTTGTATCGATTCTCATAACAATTCACATAAATTCGTCGACTGAGCTCACTAAAGAAGACTAAACAGTCTTGTTGGCATCTGGACCAAATCAAAAATATTGGGTAAAATGAATCTATAACAACAGAAATTTAATTATTGTGTCAATAAAACAATAACCCGGAAAATTCAGGCTCAAATCTAAGTGCCAAGGTTTAAAAGAATTACCTCCAAGGTTATGAATCAATGAGATCCACAACAAACAATTACAATTTGGAAACCCCGAGCAATTGAAACCAAGAATCAAAATTATGACTGTTGAACGTAAGATAGCATTCATACAAAAACAGCAGTGCATTCAATATTTTTCGAATTACTTAACGATAAATTCTTGCATGTCAATACATCAGGTATCAATCCATGCAGTTGGGTACATATTCCACAATATCTACACAGGGAACAGCTAACATTAACCGTAATGCGCGCGAATAAAAAATATACGAAGAAACGGTGTGAATTTAATAAGAAAGACCATTTATCTGTCTTTGAGTATCTTCTGTCAAATTTTTGATTTAGCTACTTTTTAAGTTTGTTTTCCCAAATAAACAAACTTAGGGTTTAAAAACGCAATTGTGGCTTACTAGATAATCTACTTAAAACCCATTCTCCTAATTTTTCCTTGTAACCTGAGACCTGTGACACATTACAGCTCTTGATCTTATTTCGCATTACGATGCTCTTTTTAGTAAATCTTGTAAACTAGCAAGTTTTGACAGTAAAAATATTTCATTGGACTATTCCTACGATATTGGTCTAAACATCTTATAAGCTTAATATTCAGGTATTTGCACGATGCCAGATGTACGATGTTCAGCCTCTAATGAAGTTTGATTTTAGTGAAAGACAATTGTCTATAAATATTTACATGTCCGATTAACTTGTGTTGTACTTATTACAAAACTGATATTGTTGTTAACTTTACGTTTAATGAACAGGATAGTTGGCTTTTTTAGTTTTAATTAGTACTATGTATCCTTGAATTGTCGGGGATCGAGTCGCCCCTAAGTGACAGTGTCAACACTTTTTAACTAGGTCGTCCTGGTCTAGTGAATTTGAGAAGACTGAGGTTCATATTGAGCTATCATATATGCATGTGGGAAAAACACTTAAAAAAAATCAATGCAAATTTATCTTTGATGTCCGCTACATTGTTCGTATTCCCAAGAAACTGGTTTAAACTCCGAACACAAATAATATATTTTTTAGGAACCCGTGAAAACTGCCGTTCATGATGGTAAGTTAAAATCCAACTATTGTATCAGAGGTTATGCGTTTGCAGTAATAAGCCTAAAATTTGACGATTTTTCGTCGGCCATAGGTTCTGTAACGTTCTGACCTAAGTTTGCGAATGAAGGACTTCTGGAAACCTTACCGATTCATAGGTTTTTGACATTAAGCGACTTCCTCTTTCTAGTCACCTGTTTTTCAAGCCTTCTTCGTGTGAGCATTCCAGATGGAAAGAACTCGCGTTAACGCACTTTGCATTACGATTGCTGCCTATTTGGAAAGTAGAAATGAGACAGAATTAGGGCACATATGTGAACCAGGTGCCAACCCTCTAAACTTCTAAATTAGTGCGCATCTTTTGTAAGTATCAGTACTAGCAACGAGTACGTGAAGACTATTTGTCATAACATGAAACACCCTCATTCGGTTTCCTAAAAATCGGCCATCCTGTTCCCCGAAATGGCTTAACACCTTCGACGACCCTCCAGCACAGGCTTGTAATATCCACACATACGGACATACTTGCTGCACACAGTCGCCTTTGTGCTCCACGTTGGATCTTACACATTTGGTAACGAGAAGGTACCTAGTCATTACTGCAGGCTTAACGACATTTCACGTACTAATCCTCAACTTACCAGCTCCCCAACCTGATTTTATTCCACGCCACCAGTCGTTTTCACTCCTCTTTCGAGTTCCATGATGTTTAGGAACTATGCTCCTCAGAATATTCATTCAAACTGGGAAGATGCCTATGGTATCTAAAAACATAGGAGCGTTCGGAAATCTTTTATTTGTTCTACGTTTCCATAGTCGTACTTTCCTCATCATTTACTGGTTCAGGGACGAAATAAAACAATCCATCGTCGAGTTTTTGACATAGAATTTTGACTTTGGTAGCTAATGAGGTGATGACATTAGCCGCGTCAGTCTCCGAAACATCGTCTACGCTGCCATCCTCTGCACTCCAACGGGCCATAACATAGACTCGAAACTCAGAGGTCTGAACTTCGAAATATTTCTACAATAGAATTAGATGAAACTGTAACAGACGCACTGAGAAACCGCTGTAGGTTGCTACAAGCCCAGAGACATGAGAAAATTGATTACCAGTATCCTGCATTGTTCAGGAGTAAGGGACTGGCCAAGCTGACAAACTGAATAGTCGCACTCAAGATTGATGATGCCACGAACCAATTTGATAGGAAGTCCAAGCTGTCGAAGGGGAGGTTCGAGAGTGTGGGGGAACCTCGGTACAGGACCGGCGCCAAGAATAACCTTGGCAGAAAACAGCAATTATAAATTAGGTTTAACAAAGCTGCAACCGGTTTGATCTCGTGTAATAGCTTGGGAAATAAGTATGAATGCAGCAGAAGAGCCGTTTCAATCAATCAGGATACACACTATAAGCATTCAGTAACAAATTATATGCTGAATGTACGTTTCGAGTGAAAGTTAAACTCCCCACGCAGACAATTAGTGACAATGGCACCTCGATGCACAAAAATGGGCGTTACGCAGACGTGCTGCCGAAAAATGTACAAAAACATCAACTTAATACGACACATTATGAAACCTATAATTTTCCGCGATTTCTCACTATTCATCGACCTTCAAAAATACTGCTTACAAAAAATCGAGAGGCGTGGTTGGCAAATGTGGATGTGTAGAAGCCTTCAAAGTTGAAACCATACTAATCTCATAACTGTTGTTGGACTTACATTCGAATGCAAAGATATGGTTCTTGTCTGCCAAAATCATCACTAGGCGCCAGTGCATACAGAAGCACAAAAAACTTATATTTAAAGATTTAATCAACTCCTACTTACTGTTTGTGCAGCAATGCTGCCAGGCCTTGCGTAGTCCTGGCACCTATACTGATTGAACACATCGCGAAGATCATCAAGTTCCCTATTACTAAAAAGCAAGGCGCATTGACCCTTGATGTATTTGTTGAGGTCCCGGAGACCTGGTTTCAACTGAGTAGACTTGTCTCGACCAAAAGCGACTGCAATGACCTTGTTTTTACCAAACAAGAAGACACTATCTGTAAGCTCTTGGCGAAGTTCTGTAAGTCTGGCATTCCGTGAATTCTCAAAACTAATGACGTAGATATACTTGTAATTGGAGACAAGAGACCTAACCTAAAGTAAAATGAGAGGCTGCTTTTAGTAACAGAACATATATTCGTTGTCAGGATAGACTGTGGACAGAAAAGGCTGCTCACGAAGAGATCGACAGTTAATAAACGTCTCCGAAGGAGTTACCTATCGTTATGAGAAGGAACATAAATAGGTCACCAAAATCCTGTAGTGTTAATTTCGAAAACATTTAGACGGTGGTGATAAGACAGGAATGAAACCAAAATGAGACGAACAAAATTACTCATCTGCATCGGACGAGATTCGACAGCACAATTGAAACGTGGCATGCACTATACAAAAATTCAATAAAAATCCAGGCGGAGCATTATAGCCTCGAACCTATGTGGATACTTAGAATTTTCGCGATGAAATAATATTTATGCCTACACGTTAAAGACAATCCCAGTAATTTAGATTATTTACAAATGAAACAGACCTGGGTAAACTTACTCTTTCGATATACTTCGGCTTATTTCCAGTTTTTTTAGTTGTCTTCGTCAAGGAAACTATACAAAAACATGAGGGAAAGCAAAAAACATTACCTTTCTTATCGCGCTTTGAAACCGGCATTTTTTAAAAAACAAATAATCTACAAAGTATTGACGCAAAATAACTGTGAATTGGCTTCTGATGAGGTACAATTCGAAAAGCAAAACAGCGTCAAAACGACTGCAATATTTATATGTTGCTTAACAGATAAACAGGTCAAATGGAGGTAAAAAGAATGATTGAAGGTCAGAACATGAGGGTGCACGGAGAATCAGTCCATGCAGGTTTTCTTACCCTAACGACTGACCTGTACTTAGAGAAACGAATGGGTACAGGACTAATTTCACCCAATCATGGCTTCGTAATTCATCAAATCAATAAAACATGAAAAGGACGCTTTTGATTAATCCACATGGGTAAATGTCATAAGTAAATTCGAAGATTTGTCGACAATCGCTAAAAAGAAGTTGATTTCGCTACGTCCGGAGAACGCGGATGAAGTTGCATATCTGCTAAATAGGTGTTGCAGAGCAAACCCACAGCGCCGGTGAGCTACCAAAAGGTCCTTAAAGATTTGCAACCAAATCAGCCAGTAATCAAACTATACCAGTACAAATGACATCCCAAAAAAAACCAATAACGTCACAAGTCACTATGACAAGGTGACCACAGACTCAGAGCAGTCTAGAGCACAATATTGTAGGTGTTGCATGATAATAACGAACAGTGTTTAAAATAATCTATACTCGCATTGGCTGAGATTGGTGGGAATGAGAAAAAGAGAACACGTGGAGGAATGGGACGTGATTATTTGACAAACACCTGAATCCCGCTTATCGCAATTTATAACGAAGATAATAGATATCATGTAATTACGATTACTAAAAACGTCATCAATTAGATAACACTGCCAGCGGACAGCTAGTTAATGCAGGAGTAAAAAAACGACAAGGGGAAATCAGCAAGTGAGCATGCTAATTAGCGACCTTGAACATGATAACAAGACACTTTCCAGACAAAGGTTAAACCAATCACAGAATTAATGAAAGAAATTATTAATAGCTTAATAAAATTGATGCGGAATCGAGTGGTCCAATGCACTTGAAATTCTGAAAAAAATGTAAATTGTCGACCAAATTTTCAATATAAATCAATTAACATTTCTTCGAAATTCACATCCTAATTTTGAGTACTTTTATATCATCAGACTTATTAGAAAAATAAACCTTCAACATCTATATAATATTGTATCCATGCTGCAATCGCCATCCATAAGCGATTTAAAGGTATATATTTTGGACCGTGAACCAACTAAGAACAAAAAGGTGCGTTTTCACCATGCGGCTCAACTAGTGTAAGTGACTCGGTTGGACGTGGCCTGACAAGCCGTTCTGCCTTTTGGTTGATTTATGAAGCCTGATCTGTTATACCTGTAATCTTTACACGATGGCATAGGGACTTAATAGCAATAGCGTACTAAAACGCAAATTTCCATGATCTCATCGAGGCTTGTTTTGTTGTACATATCTTCCTACAAGTACAAGGGTGTTGTAAGGAGGAAGAACCCGTTCCATCTAATCCAGAAGACTAACTAATGTTACAACTGTAACAGTCTGTTTTATGTGATATTGCCCAAAGCTGGTAGTCAAACTAAATACTATAATGAAGAAATTTAGCAGAACCTAAGAGTCAGGAAACGACGCTATTTTAGTGTACACATACAAATGACACTAAATATTAGAGGCTCATAATTCACACTTTGTGCTTACTTGTGACGCGTAGTATTTCTTGAGCATAAGTGTATTTGGGTAAAGAGCCAGCTATTTTAATTAAACGGCAAGAATGACGATTTGTACGAAACCAAACATGGCAGTGAAATTTGTCTACATTTTTTGCAATTATTAATCTCAAGGTTATCTTCATGGTATTTTACTACGACTGACTTTGCAGTGATCTCCGCCGCTAAAATGTGCAGCGAGGCAGACCTGACCTATCACATTGGTGCAATTTGCCTTTGCGCCATGTTTGCTTTTTTTGCTGACGTCTTGCATGTCTGCAATATTGAGTTGATTGCTGTTTAAAAAACTTGAACAGTTTTAAGTCAACGAGTTATTAATCTAATCCTAATATATAAATTAGTGAAAAAAAAAGTTTTCTTTTCGCCGTATACTGCTAGGTGCCTTGGCCTATTTGAACTGCGGTAAAATTGGCTTCCTCTACAGTTTGACATCGAGATTTCCATGAGAATTTAGTTCAGAAATGTAATTTAAATGGGTTGAACTAGTTTCGCGGATTTGCATCTTCTGTATTCGTTTGACTAAACATGAAATACCATTGGTTGCTAGGTTACGTGCATTAAGATATTCGTATATAAGGGCTGCTGCCTTCATTAAATTCGTGTCCATTTTTTTTTAAATTATCGTCCTTTGCAAATTTAACACCAGTTTCTCGACCGGACACAGTAAAGTGCTTGATAGCTTCCAGTGCCGTTCCTAGTCAAAATAGCATTAATTACAAGGGACGAGTTACGCTGTCATTTGATCATGTCTAAACAGCAGATGATGACCATTAATAAAAGCGCAGCACAACTTATAATCCTCCGTAATTTTCGATATCAAAATTTGATGTCTTTTTCAAATATGCTTAACTCAGACTGGCCGCCTTTTACACAGCACTTTGTTTGTAAGTCTTTCATGCCGCAAATGTTTGAATTGTTATCTTTGTTTATCGCTGTACAGACATAAATTGACAATAGCCAACACTAACTTTTAAGTTTAAATTCGGAGTTCACGGTTAAATGAAGAGTCGAATTCATCATTTCTTTTTAATATTGTTATTCCTTTATTTATTATTGTTACCAGAAGGATCGGCAGCATGGTTAGTCAGATAAAAGGAAAAAATATGTTGCCTTATTGATTTTTTTGTTGGAAATTTTAATGTTAATCTACTCAAAACCATGCAACTCTGTCGTTCACTCCATAAAAACAGGAACATCGTTTAAAACTAAGTGCATGAATTATAACGTGACTCAGATTTTTGTGCACTTAATAATTTAAGTAGCTTCCGGGAAATGTTAGACTTTGTTGAATGTAAAGTTGTCGTGATGCTGCTTGCTATAAATAAGTGCATCTATAATTACCAAAATATAAACTAAAATTATGGATAGTGTTAACATTAGCTAGGATGTATAAAGTTTGGTTTGGTGGTAGAAATTATTAGCGTAGAACAATAAAGCCTAACATTTTATCTTTGGACGCATGCTATTTGACAATTTTCCTGAATACAAGCACCATTTCTGAAAAAAAGCCAAATTCTGCCAAAATAAGAGAAATATTTCCTTTAAAAAAACTACTCAAAAAAAAATTTCCTTAATAGTAACTTTTTGTACTAACATCATTTACTCTGTGTTTTAAGTTGTAAATCGACTTTGTCAATCTTTTGAAAAACTTGGTAACTAGACTCGTGATGAGTGATGTATTTCTCTACATTTATGACTTATCCATGGGTATGGCGAAAGTGCTATCCGAATCACTTGTAGGGAGGCGATTCGACGGTATTTGGCACACAGGGGTCGTTGTATACGGATGCGAATATTTTTTCGATCAAAGTGGAATTAGTACTTGTTCTCCCGGTTCACTACAAATTGGTCAATTACTAGAGCGGAAGCTAATAGGCAGAACCACTAAAACCTATATTGAATTGCAAGCGTTCGTTGAAATAATGTCGCAGTCTCTTTTTAAGCCAGGATCTTATGAATTGCTTAAGCACAATTGTAATACGTTTTCGGCATATTTTGTGAGGCATCTAACGGGACTGGAAATACCATCTTACATAACAAGCTTGCCGTCAGATTTTCTTGGGACACCAGTAGGATCAGCCTTACGGGGAATTCTGGAGAATGCCGCCATGATTTCTGACCCATCAGTGTCACGATTCTCTCATTCAAACAATTTATTACGTCGAAGGTCAATGCCATCAACTGTCAGACCTGTATTGTTTGACGAGCCAATTTCTCCGGAATTTACGTCAAATGAATTGACAACGATGTTTTCCGGCGGTTCTGGCCTTTCTTTACAATGGGCGAATACTGCACTGTCAATTCTTAGGAGCTTGAGTTCACCAAAACTTGTCTCAGAGGATATCCCACTCGAGGCATTAAGTCTGCTAAAGTTTAACCGATGGGCAACTTTCAAACAATGTGAGGCCATATGTGAGGTGTTTCGATTGGCTGTGTGGCGCTGCCCTGAATTAATAGTTTCCCTGATTACTGACCCAAACGAAAGTTTGCATAAACTCTCGGACGCTTACCCTTCCCCAAGTGGTCAAATTTCACGATCGGCTTACTTTGACCTTGATGCCGCAAAATCTCATCTGCTGTGCAATGTCTTTTCGCTAAGTTATGATTGGGATCTAACCAATCTTAATTTCATACCTCTAGGGCCTGTTGTTGCCCTCTGCAATCGACTCATTAGTTGTGATGCCACTGAAGATAAGCCTAATCGAAAGCCTACACCAAAGTCACCGGAGCATGAAATGGCTGGTCTTGCCTTGACACTGAACCTTGCATTGTGTCCGTTGCTAGGAGAACAGGAGGCATTGGAAGTTTCTGCATCCTTATTTCATCTTGTGGTAACCAAAAAGGGCTTTAAACACCCAACCGGAGCTTGTTACGTTCTAAAGGCCATTTACGTTTTTATTAAAAGTTTCCCAACTCTTATTGACTTGGCCAAAACCCTGGGTATTGCCGCACATGTTCCAGAGCTTTCAAGTCAGGCTGAGCATGCCGAAGATGACCTGGCTGACAACAAATCCCACGTAGATGCGATTGCGTCGATAAGCGCTGAATTGATGGAAAAACTTACCAAATGAATTTACCTATATTTTGCGTAATGCGTTAATTTCTTTACTTTTGAATTTTAACAGTCTTTTTCGTGTATGCTCTCTGTTCTTGTATGCTTTTATATGACGATGGAAGTTAATTTTTCCTAGTGAAAAAACCCTTTTTACTGTCTGAAAACGAGGTTTTGTAGTAAATTATCGCGAACGTGCAGTTGAAGTTGAAAGTCACTGATTTGTCAGAACTGTAGTCTTGTTGGGTCGGGTTCCTTGTTTTCACCGTGGTAGCCTTTAGATGTAATCGGTCAACTCAGGTGACTTTAGTTATCTTGAAACTACCAAGTCTAACTCCGATGATTGGTGGAGACTTAGTAATGCGCCATATTTCCATGCCTCAAACTCCCCCTCTGCTTTACATTTTATTGTAGCCTCTTAATTTATGGACTATTTTTTAGTTGTAGAAAAATGGCATTTAAATCACAAACACCTAATCTTTTTAACCAAAGTGCGCCATTGTTCAAAGAAGTTATTTCGCTAGGTATGCTCTATTGTTTGATTTGTGGGCAGGAAGAGAATTTATCTAGGTGCCTATTCATTGGCATTATTGAGTCTTACAAGTGCCGACAGAAAAACGTGGCGGTAGATTTATGTCGTCAGCCTTGCGTGTCTGGTTAGCGTCACAAAGGCGTTTCATGAAGGGTAATAGTGGCGAGTCAACGTTATATAAAACATTCAGTCTAGTTCTCTTAGGCGTGCCTTGCACAGCAAAGATTTTTGATTTCATTAATCCAACGGTTTCCTCTGTGGAGATACGTTTTCTAGCTAACAAGCTGGTTACAGCCCACAACGCTTAAACTGCGCACCATGACACCTTTGTTTATGTGCAGGCCATTACCGATTCAGTTATACAATCCATTACGTTTGGCAGAATCGGTTTCTAGCTACCTGCGATTGGTTAATTCCATGCCTGCTTGCTATGGTAACTGGTTTTATGCACAGTTGTTTAGGTGACGTTGTCCAGTCCGAGTGCCATGACTTTGGAGGAGGTGTCGTCTAGCCGATGTTTTGAAGGAGTGCAAAAGGTGCTCAGACATGAAAGGTAATCGATGTAAGCGATCAGTCATTCCGAATCAGCTCTACCTTGAAGTGTCCTATGAAGTTTGGCATCTACCTTCCTCCATGCTACAGCCAAAGGCAATCATGCCCTGTAGTTTTTTTTCTTCAAGGTGCACCTTTTAGCCTCCTTAAAATTCCACTTAGGTCTGATGTCTACTGAACAAAGTTTTATTCTCAAATCTGGCGCTCAACGTATCGCCTCCGAGTTGGGACTTATTCTGGTCAATCCCGATACTAGTCCACGTGCGTCCCTTGCTTTCTTTGCCATAGCAATTTACATCTACTGTCTGATCAGAATCAAAACCTTTAGGTCATGTTGTAACTAACAAAAATTGTGTGTCTTCCAGCGTGTTAAATTTAGGCAACTTTCCCTCAGCTAATTGAAGTGTATTTTAAGATATTCTTGCAATAATTTTCCGTACCTATTAATCCACCAACAAAATACTTTCTTGGACATAAAACTGTGTCATCTGTAGCCTAATTTTTCATAGTATTTATCCACCCGGTTGATGATTCGCCTAAATTTTAACTAAACTTTCACATGAATTGTCGAATAGTATTTCAGCAAAACGCCTTTACTAACGTGAGGGGCAATAACTAACCATGAAACCCTGTTTGCCTAGCAAAAACTAATTTTCAAATGTGTATATGTGTGCGCATCTGCACTCCAGTTGAAGTGAGTACGAAATATTAATTTAAGGTTAAAATATAGTGATGGGTTTGTAGTGCGAAGCGAGAATACCTAATATAATGCGCCACATTACTTAGTTTTCAGAGAACTGTGATGACACTGTTTAGTTCCTACTAAATCGCTTGCGAGGATAACTGTAAAATAAGTAAACAAACTAGTCAGCGATTTTGTGAAATGCCTGGCGCTGGTAATTCGAGGCAAAATTTGGTCAGAGAAAGAAAGAACACATCAAGCTCATTAATCTGACTCACGTGACACTGTCAACCAATTATTGAGCGAGTAAGTAACACAGACGTGCAATGTGAGCGCTTAGCTCAAGTTTATTTTACGCCTCTGGGCATTTTTAATATTTATTAGTGGGCTCACCACCCGTGTAGTTGATATATTCAGGTAAAGTTTGGCTGGTGATTTGTTTATGTCGACTTCTGACTTATCGCCAATGAGTTTGTTCGATATTACCTATTCGTTCCGCTTTTATTGGAAGGTTTTTTATTCGACACTTACCAGAATTTCGGATTAGGAACACATGCACGCTCAACTAACGCAAGACACATGAAACTGTCTATGAACTGTATCTGATTTACTGTGGTGCGGGTTCTGCCTTATAGACAAATACTGCGACCTTATTTAGATCACAAAAATGCAAGTTTAACGAGGACTTCAGTGTGTTGTAATAATGGTGTAACCATATGTTCTAAGACCACAAACATTGGCAAGTAATACGCGCATGACAGAGGAAAGTTCGAAGGCGTAAATCGCATCCACTGTAATCTGGCTCGAAGTGCCATTCAAAGTGTTGTTGAAATCGAAGTCGCCGTCCAGCATGCGTAACAGGCAACTAAAATGACTGGTTACGTCCAGGGCTAAAATAAGCATCAGAAAAAAGAGAGGAGCGCATGATTCCTCCTCCGATCTCAAACGTGGAATATTTTGTGGTAATTTCTCTTGCTGTTAGGTGGCAGCGACTTCCCAGGAGAAAATGATGATTATGATTTTGGAAGTGGTGCTGGTTTCTATTTGAATGCAACCCAAGAACCATGGCGTTATAACTATCATATGTACGACTACGTAACGACCGAAGTAAGTTCTATGTTGCTTCTTAGTGTCGTCTAAGCTGTTTTTCCATCTTGGTTTAATAACTCGATCAGTTAGTTTTAGTACTTCAAACTCCGGAACAATGAAAGCAAATTCAAATGATCTATGTTAGTGATATCCGAGATTCAAGATGATTTTCTATCTACTGGGTCCGCGTTCACAAATTGACGTTGCTTTCGCACGCGTAAATCCGGCATGTTTCATTACTTCAAGTAAAGAAAATAGCGACAAATCTTTGGTTTCCGAAATCTATCCGTGCATCCACTTTTAATTAACGACAAGTAAATGAATCACCGCTTCAAAGGTATTAGCACCTAAATTGGAACCCTTACCAAAAACTACGAGTGTCAGCCCTTATGTGTTGGCGTTTTTATGCACATTTACAAATTAAATACTAATACTTGAATAGCCGTTGATAGTGACAATTTGTCTTACTCTGGCAGTAGTTTCTATCAACCAGGGGCAACAAAGCAAAAGGAATGCATGCTAATTAAATGGACAAGACAATTCCACTGATGCCACTTTACGGTGGTCAACCTGCTTGTTAGCATTTTGATGCCTGGGAATTTGGTATTTCTAAGCGTTTAGCGGATCTACGCTAACTGCTGTTGTCAATTTTACTCAGTTGAACTAGCGACTTACGTGTCGTCTACTTTTAGCTTCCTGGATTAATCGAGAAGAACTTCAACGTTATTTCCGGTAAATACGGATTATGCGGCCACAGGTACTAAGCACTTTACTGCAGTATTCGGGGCAAGTTTTCTTTGGTGGTGAATTAAAGACGTTGGTGGTTTGGCAAATCTCCGGAATTACTTTTGGACTGTAGTCTACTTAAATGCATTAATCGTTTCATCAATTAGTCTAGAGATTTGACCCATTTAAAATCACCGAACTTAGCCCGCACAGAAGCTGCTCAAATATAGTTGGCCGAGAGAAAGTAACGTTTGTTGTCCCTTTTCGTTGTTTTTCAGTATGGGAGGGCATGGAGCACTAGTGGTAGGCCTCCGAAACCCTGATCGTTTTGCCTCAGTGTCCGCTCTTGCTCCTATCTGCCATCCCTCTGTCGTCCCCTGGGGCATAAAGGCTTTTTCAGGTGGGTTCACTGAGTGTGTTGATCACATAAAAAAATTCAGGTTTGGACGAGTTAATAAATTTGTGGTATACAGCACTAGATGCGATGTTGTACGTACTGAGGTTTTAAGTTTCAAGACATTTGCCTGCTTTATATGATCATTTCAACCATTTATCTATGGGGTGCGTTTTTATACATAGGATTGAATGTGCCGTTGAGACTCTAGTGGACTGAAAAACGATGCTTATTATTAAAAGCTCATGCGAATAAGTTTCTTGTTCTGCCAACACACACAAACACGCCACGATGACCCTTCGCTGATCGGATTTTGTCGCCTTTTCCTTAACCTCGTTGTTCACGGGGCTTCCGGCCACCAACTAAGAAAAATGACTACAATGTAACCGCTAACAACAGCAATTTCAAGACGGCAGTGATGCTTCATGCAGATGAAAGCCTGGGTACTATCCTAAAATTGAATAACAGTGGTCGCGGTTAATCAAGGGTCTATGCATGGCACTCAGGTAACGAGTTGTGCCATCTTTTGTTGTGTGCATAACAGTCAATGAAAAATGCAAAATGTCAAAACATGAGTCGAGGGTTTTTTGCGACTAGGCACGTGAGTTCTTCCAGATTGTTTTGCAGTATCAATCCTCTGATTTGTATGGGATTTGCTGAGGCCCATTCTAATCGATAATTTTTTTGCCTGCCCTCTAAACAAGCGAACTTGTAAAATCGTGCTAATCTTCGTTTTATAAATGCCAAATTAGAGCTGCGCTAAGACTGTTTAGACGAGAAATTCATATGCACCGAGTATCAATGTACTAATGCATTACGTATCTTAATCCTTCTACAGAAAAAGGTAATTAGTAAACATCTTTAATCTTTAATTTAATTATTCGTTAAATGGCGTCACAAATCGTCAGGCTATTTCACATTCCAGGACTTAAGATTTTCTTTTAATTAGCCTCGAGATTAGCTGTGCGTCTCAAATTCGGACAAAAAGGGCTACCAATCTAGTTAAGCAATTTCACGGTATTTATTAAGAAATGGTTTAAAACTTGATGCATTAGTTGTTTAAGTCTTGGTGCAAACTGCGTTATTGTTTAGTGGGAATTTCAAGTTGCCAATATCTGCCAGCCACTAAAGCACTTGAGGCATCAAAGACACATTCTGCCAAGGTTGCCCACTTAGCAATATATCTGGCTTGCTACAAAATACAAAAGCCTCGTGTAGTACTAGAAATGGGTTTTTATTTCTTTCAAAAGGCAAAACTAGACCTCTATTAGGAGTGGGTTAAACATGGTGGATGTGTACTGGATGTGCTCTCATTTTGGGAGGTTCTTTAAACTAGAAAGGTAATTAACCCTGTGGCTTTTTTATTACTTGATTTTCTTAGTTCTTTATTGCATCGATAATTTTGCCTTCACCCAGGTTATCTTGGAGCCGATAGTGACTGGAGCATGTACGATGCTGTTGAATTAATAGCGAAACACAAAAAACGCTTTGCGATACCACCTCTGATTGACCAGGGCGACGTCGATGAATGGCTAGAATTGAATTTGAAGCCTGCTGACCTTACAAAGGCCTGTGCTGATACCGGACAGGAAATTAATATGCGTTACCAAAAGGTGAGATTTGTGCGCTTTGTTTTGCAGCAGCCGGCGCAGTGACTACCAATCTGGTTGACACATTCCTAATCAGGTGGCTTTGATTTCCCCAAGCTGACGTATCGGCGGGCGGACATGCTTTTGTGTGTGCTGATTTTTTTTCTCATGACGTATCTTACGATCTTAGAGAGTTCTTGATCGAGTCTGAGTGCCATTTGTGGTGCTCACTATAAATCGGAAATTACGGCAGTGAATTAGGAAATTCCAAAATGTTGGGTCATTCAGGCACCAGCGAGAAGGAAGGCGAGTCAGACGGGGTTGCGTCATGTTATGCCGAATTGGGCCCGATCAGATATGTCATGTGAGCAGTCAGAGGTGGCATTTCAAATGCAGGTGTTACCATTAGGAAATAGTGCAAAAGGGGGAACGCAACATCAGTTTTAACTTAAAAAGCATTCTGTTTGCTTTGAAGGGCTTTCCTTAAAATTGTAATTTTTCCTACTCCCACATCCGACAGATGTCATGTTTTCTTTACTTGAGAAACCAATTGTGTGCAAATGTGATTGTATCGTGTTAGTTTAGAGCCAATTTTAAAAGAAATGGGGTCCAAAACTGAGCAAACTCTACAAAGAGACGCTAGAGGTGTGTGGTGCTGATTGCTTAAAAGAACGCGCGGGTCAGAACTAGTCTAAAATTCCATTCTGGGAATTTTGCACCCAAAGTCGGCCAACATTTGTATCAGTCTACTGAAGTTAATAATGACCAAATCAAAGCCATAGCTGAATCGGATCATCATATAGCAGCGAGAACTTGCAGACACGTTACTAGTTGTGCTGCACACAACCAAGAAATCATCCACAATGTGTTAGACATTTGGGTACTTCATTAATTAAAGGAGGTTCACTTAATATAACGATCATTTGTTTGCAATGTACATCTCGAAGTTAATAGAGACACTCTTTTTAAAATAAATAGTCTCCTACAGTACACATTGAAAATGGTCATTGTCCAATGTTCGTTTCTTTTATTGCATAACAAATTTAGTTTTTTTTCACCCCGTAAAACTGAAACCGCTTTTTTGTCAACTAACCAATTAATTCTCCTCGTCAGTGTGAAATCATGACCCTTGCTGTATTTTAAAAAGAAAATCGCATCTAACATTAGATAAAAATGTGTAAACTGCACAAAAATCGTATTAAAGAACAATATCCCAAATAATTTGGCCGATAGATTGCTTTGTAGCCACTGAATGTTTTTCGTCTATCAATAAGCTGCTGATTGTTCTGCGTATTGGGATTGAACGAGTTATACAAGTCCTTAGTAAAAGCCTCAATGGTTTGCTTACCATTAACAAGCGTGCTTGAAAGATTGCCTATAATTGAATCGGAGCTGTTAACTTTTATAAAGTTGATTGCGCTGAAGGCGACCGTTTTTCCATAAACCATTGATGAGTCTCGCCACTGAATACTCCTCGTGCCGTGCTGTTGAAAATTAAGTCATATTTTATTTCTTTTGTAATTCATTACGCTTTGAAATGTAATGTATGCCTGGTTATGCCAGTTTAAGTGCTGTTGAATTGTCACGATTGGATTTAGCAAATTGGGCGTCATTAAACTTTTTAGGGCTATGATCACAGCGACTTCTTTATCTCCACGTTTATTGAAGACCATCTTCGTTTTCACTCAGCGAATCTAGTCAATATGTAAGGAACTGTACCCTTTTCCAACTAGTTGCTATTTTCACTTCCTGTTAGTTTCCTTTTAATAAATGTTTCACTCCTTATAGTGTTATTTTTTTCAATTATACGAGTAGAAGAAGAGGCCAGAAGCATAATTACCCAGAGCAATAGTTGGTTATTAGGATGAAGACAAATTCATGAATTATCTGATTTAGAACGGGCGTGTTCCATTCAAATCTGTTCTCTCTTGCCGCACCTCGTTTTTAACTCACCCCGTTCTGCTCACTGAAGGATGCATGTGTATTCATAAAGTGTAAAGGTTAAATGAAAAAAAAACCTTTTTGGCGTGCCAAAGATAATCAGGATTTTTCCCCTGCAAGTGCACAAAGACATCCAGTGTTGGCCTTACCGTGAAGAACCTTTACGTATCAATGTAATTTTAATCGCTGATAAAGAATATTAGAATGAAAGGTGCAAAACCAACGAAACCAAACCCACGCTTTCCCATATTTGCTTACTTATTCATCCCCTAAGATTCTGCATAAGACTTCATTAAGTTTCAAGTTCAATGCTAAGTCTCCCGTTAAAACCAACATCACCAGAGGATCCAGCACCAACATTTACTACTTGCCATTTTAACATAATCCAGCGTTGTATGTTCCAGGGAAAATTTGTGATCAACATTAAGCTCGCAAGTGTGATGACGGAGAGATTTCATCATTGCAAAACTGTAATCGAATTCGGTAAAACCGGGTACCGAAGTGAGTAGGGCTTGGCTTCACATTCCCGAAATCGGCCATTTAATCCATGGAATCTTATGGTACCACAGATTAAGGTTGAGGACGTGGGAGTAGCGGGCTCAGCCGAACGCGCATGTATCAAGTTGAATAAACAAAACCGGTTAGAGTTGATTCACCTATAATATTCGTCCTTGAAAACGATATGTAAACACACCTTTGTGATTAAATTGCATTTCCAATGATGATGGACTCCTAGCGTCATGGATCTGCATCTTGAGCAACCCACTAACCTGATTGCCTACTGCTGTCGCAGGTCATATTTTGGCCCAAAAAAGAGAGGTTTCCTATTACTTCCAAATTTTACAAATTATGCCTTTTGGTAAAATCATGCAGAGCCCTTTTGTCTAAGTTTAGTAATTCACGTGTGCTTAAGTTGCTTGACGATGGAGTACGAACAACATTCCAAGCCCTTTAATGGCAATTGCAATGTTCGAGAATGATTGATTTCCGTCAAAATCTAGAAAACCAGGACTTTCCTTGTAGTCTACAAGTCACTTTCTACACAATGAATCCTGTCGAAGAATCCATCTACTCTACGTGCGCTACATCCTGCCCTGCTGCCCAATTTGAGGTTGCGCAAGGTGCTAGCCTCTTCGAAAACATCATTACACATCATCTGACATCGTGCATACTTAAATGTAGGTTACCAATGCCTATAGGGGACTTTTATTGTCTGAATGACTTGGTTTAATGTCGTCATACATCCAGCCCTACCACGCTGCATTCGACCTCTTCCTGTTTAGTTAGGGACCAGCATTCCACCAGGAATCGCAGCAGAGGTTAGTGTTGGTAGCTTTGTTAGACCCACGGAGTTGGCACGACCCACCTCACGAACTCATTTTAGTGTTCAGGGGCAAAAATCGATGCATCGTTTCAATCACCGTTATCGGCATTCTGGCAACCGGGGCTGAGGTTGCTAGAACAAACAGGGCACCGTGGATGGCAAAGTAACATGCGAGTGTGTGCTATGTGGTTCCACGGTTTCGTCCGTGTTCTGGTCTCAGTACACCCATGCATAGATGTGAAATTGGGTCATTTAGAGTGTTGGGCATGGATAATCGCCAATTAACTATTCAGCTGTATGAAAAGTAGTAGGTTGGTTATGCCCAAATTGAAATGGATGAAAGAAAACATAAATGCCAAATTGCAGATGTGTAGTCACGTGCACTGCTTTTCAACTCTTCTAGTTATCAGGCCGAAGCTACCGAGAACAAATAAAAGACACATAACAGTCGATATGGCCGTCTATTTTACCAAAAGTCAAGCCAAAGTGCAGAACAGTGCGTTCAACGGTTTGTTAGCCAGATCCAACTTACGTGGATTGATAACCAATGTCTGAACGTTAGTTATCGACCCGATTTTCAGTAAGGCCATTTGATTAACAGCACAACCGAACGTACCTCGATTTTCACGAAAAAGAGTCGACAGAAAAGTCACCCTCCGAGTGTTCAAAGCCACACACACTGAACACTCAAATACCACTGGATAGATTTGACAAGGCTGACAGGGGTCTTCAGTGGTCAACTGAAATCGGAGGTGGGCGAAGTTTGAATTATGAGAGGGTGCGGTCTAACCATCACTGCTTGGATATGAAGCAAGAACATTGCTGCCGGTCAAAAATTTACTTCGAGGCCATCAATTGCTTCGGTATCAGCTAATCCGTTCCTTTTGGTTCTGAGTTACTTGCTTGAGAGTCGCCAAACAACTAAACGAACCCCGTGGGATAGCAGTGGGAGCCTTTTACATTTATTATATCTGATAGAAGCACGATGCAGAGTGTTCATCAGTGATACCAGAATTGGTGATCTCTCTCACCTACGGGAGTGAAGATGACGCCTTTCTAAACAAATTATTTTCAGTCAAGCGGTTGCATGGTAATGCATCCAACCAATCAATGAGTGTTTGTTCAGTATTAAACGATGCAGGAGCTGAGTGGTCAAGGTCTCGAAATACGGAGGATATAATTTGAGCACACTTACTAAGGGCAGCAGAACTTGGTCCACGGAATAGCTATAAAAAATAAAAAAAACTAAGAAGCAATCGTTTCGATTACGCTATCTTGGACAAGAACTGCTAAGATCCAACAGACGAAGCGATTTACAAGTCCGAATGTATTCAAATCCAGCCTGCCAAAGAGCCGATCTGCACATTAATCGAACGATTTTGCAAGCTCGTATGTTACAGTGCTTTTCCGCCATTGCAGTCATTGGATCATTTAGTTATCTGTAGATTTTTCAGCATATCACTCGATCGAGAACACAAAAGAATGTGCTTTATAATTATGGAAAAACTGTTGATACAATTGCCGACAGATGTTATACTTCACATGTTCACTATATCGTGTTTATTTAGTGCCTCTGTGTCACTTTATAAAAAAAAGTGACATTTAAACAAACTTAACGCAAAATATAAGCAAGCGTTCAAGTTGATACTAAAAAAACAGCAGCAAAAAAATAGAGTAAAATTAAAAACTAGCCCCATAGTCAGAGTTAGCTAGTTCAGTAGACTTCGGTAGCAGACTTTGACGTTTAAAAGTGCAGGACAAATTTAGTCATGATACAGCGTTTGCTTTCCTTTACAACGGA